GCTCATGTGACCTATCCTGAGACCTAGGTCTATAGACCTCCTCCTGGGCACCTTTAGGATCTTGCCCACATGACCTATCCTGGGTCCTAGGTCTATAGACCTCCTCCTGGGCACCTTTAGGATCCTGCCCACGTGACCTTTCCTGAGTCCTAGGTCTATAGACCTCCTCCTTGGCACCTTTAGGATCCTGTCCATGTGACCTAGCCTGAGACCTAGGTCTATAGACCTCCTCCTGGGCACCTTTAGGATCCTGCCCACATTTATTTATTTTTATTTATTTGGGATTCTTGTACCCCGCCCTTCTCACCCCGAAGGGGACCCAGGGCGGCTTACAGCTGCAAGGTGCACTTAGACACCTGCCATACAAACAATCATCATAAAATACCGCGATACAAATTCCCACAATTCAGCATAATCCAGTAAGATCAATAAAAGATAAAAACAGTAAAGCAATAAAACATACAAACCTAGATCTTCCTTCTACCCATCAGTGTTCATTAACTCAAGGGTCTGTTTCGATTCCATTTCAACAACCTGCTGATCTTACACATCTGGTTGTCATATTTAGTTGTCTTCTCTAGTTGCCTGGTTGCCCGAAGGCCTGGTTCCACAACCATGTCTTCACCCTCCCCCTGAAAGAGAGGAGGGTTGGTGCTGTTCTGATTTCCCCTGGGAGTGAGTTCCACAGGTGGGGGGCCACCACTGAGAAGGCCCTGCTTCTCGTCCCCACCAGCCTCACTTGTGAGAGTGGTGGGGTCGAGAGCAGGGCCTCCCCAGATGATCTCAAACTCCGAGGTGGGACGTATAGGGAGATACGTTCGGACAGATACACTGGACCAGAACCGTATAGGGTTTTGTAGGTTAAGACCAGCACCTTGAATTGTGCTCGGAATTGAACCGGCAGCCAGTGGAGCTGGCACAACAGGGGGGTGGTATGCTCCCTGTATGCCGCTCCGGTGAGCAATCTGGCTGCCGCACGTTGGACTAGTTGTAGTTTCCGAACAGTCTTCAAGGGCAACCCCACGTAGAGCGCGTTGCAGTAGTCTATCCGGGATGTAACAAGAGCGTGGACCACCGTGGCCAGATCAGACTTCCCAAGGTACGGGCGCAACTGGTGCACAAGTTTAATTGTGCAAAGGCTCTCCCAGCCACAGCTGAGACCTGGGGTTCCAGGCTCAGCTGTGAATCCAGGATCACCCCCAAGCTGCATGACCTATCCTGAGTCCTAGGTCTATAGACCTCCTCCTTGGCACCTTTAGGATCCTGTCCATTTGACCTAGCCTGAGACCTAGGTCTATAGACCTCCTCCTGGGCACCTTTAGGATCCTGCCCACATGACCTATCCTGAGTCCTAGGTCTATAGACCTCCTCCTTGGCACCTTTAGAATCCTGCCCATTTGACCTAGCCTGAGACCTAGGTCTATAGACCTCTTCCTGGGCACCTTTAGGATCTTGCCCACATGACCTATCCTGAGTCCTAGGTCTATAGACCTCCTCCTTGGCACCTTTAGGATCCTGCCCATGTGACCTATCCTGACACCTAGGTCTATAGACCTCCTCCTGGGCACCTTTAGGATCCTGCCCACATGACCTATCCTGAGTCCTAGGTCTATAGACCTCCTCCTTGGCACCTTTAGGATCCTGCCCATGTGACCTATCCTGACACCTAGGTCTATAGACCTCCTCCTCGGCACCTTCAGCATCCTGAGACCTAGGTCAATAGACCTCCTCCTCAGCACCTTTAGGATCCTGCCCACATGACCTATCCTGAGACCTAGTATACAGACCTCCTCCTGGGCACCTTTAGGATCCTGTCTATGTGACCTATCCTGAGACCTAGTCTATAGACCTCCTGGGCACCTTGAGGATCCTGTCTATGTGACCTATCTTGAGACCTAGGTCTATAGACCTCCTCCTGGGCACCTTTAGGATCCTGTCTATGTGACCTATCCCGAGACCTAGATCTACAGACCTACTTGGGGTCTTTAGGATCCTGCCCACATGACTTATCCTGAGTCCTGGGTCTATAGACCTCCTCCTTGGCACCTATAGACCTTCTTGGCGCCCACATGACTCTGACTGGGTAGGTTTGGATCTTGCTGATGTTTACACATAATGTGTCCTATCCTGAGACCTAGTATTGGGGAAAGGGCATAAAGGAAGAGAAGGATTTGTGGGTTGTAATTCCATTTTGGTAGCCATTGGACATTTTTTCCCAGTGCAGAATGACTAAATTCATTTCAAGATCAAAAAACGTGGAATTGTTCAAACCCTGCAATTGTGAAATGGTGAATAAACACCTGTACATGTAACAGCAAAATGTGAATGGGTGAGCATTGAACATGATTAGGTCCATGTTTCTGCATTCATAAATAGTATAGGTTGTGGAAAATGACTTTCAGGTCATAGAATCCTAGAGTTGGAAGAGATCTCGTGGGCCATCGAGTCCAACCCCATTCTGCCAAAAAGCAGGAAAAACGCAAAGCACCCTTGACAGATGGCCACCCAGCCTCTGCTTAAAAGCCTCCACCACATTCCCGGGGCAGAGAGTTCCACTGCTGAACAGGTCTCACAGTTAGGAAGTTCCTCCTCATATTCAGGTGGAATCTCCTTTCCTGTAGTTTCCTTGTGTATAAGAAACACAAATACATTCAGTATTTAGACTCTGGTCCCATCTCCAAAATATCCTCCTTGTGTATATACAAGTATTCCAAAATCGGGTCAGGGGACAAAATAGAGCAAATGCAGTGACTCTTGGTAATTTTTTCTTCACAGACAAAACAGTTGCAGATATAGCGGGATAGGAAACCAGAATCTCTGTGATCCTTTGAAATAATAGAATTTTCCTGCACATCCATAGTGGCTGGATCCTGAGGCTCTTTTGATCTGCACCCAACAACATCTTCAAGCCCGCCTCCCCATTTGGCTTATTAGCAAAAGCCACACATGCCTCCTTCATGGTGATTTCTGTCCTTGCTTTTGCTTTGCAATTAAAGCACATTTTGAAAATTAAAAATAAATGTTGCTCTGTTTCTTGCCCATATTCTGGTGAAAAATGGTTTCTCTGCTCACCCGCAGTTTTTGCAAGCAAAAAACAGTCTTGATGTGGAAAAGGCTTTCATCTCATGGTTAAGAATGGGGAAAACAACTCAATATAGGGTTGTTGTAGGTTTTTTCGGGCTATATGGCCATGTTCTAGAGGCATTTTCTCCTGACGTTTCGCCTGCATCTATAGCAAGCATCCTCAGAGGTAGTGAGGCAGCACCTCACTACCTCTGAGGATGCTTACCATTGATGCAGGTGAAACGTCAGGAGAAAATGCCTCTAGAACAGTGTTTCTCAACCTGGGGGTCGGGATCCCTGAGGGGGGTCGCGAAGCGGTGTCAGAGGGGTCGCCAAAGACCATCAGAAAACACAGTATTTTCTGATGGTCATGGGGATTCCATGTGGGAAGTTTGAGCCAATTCGTTGGTGGAATTCAGAATGTTCTTTGATTGTAATGAACTATAAATCCTAGCAACTATAACTCCCAAAAGTCAAGGTCTATTTTCCACAGGCTCCACCAGTGTTCACATTTACGCATATTGAGTATTTGTGCCAAGTTTGGTCCAAATTCACCATTGCGTGAGTCCACAGTGCTCTCTGGATATAGGTGAACTACAACTCCCAAACTCAAGGTCAATACCCACCAAACCTTTCCAGTGTTTTCCGTTGGTCATGGGAGTTCTGTGTGGCAAATTAGGTTCAAATCCATCGCCGGTGGAGTTCAGAATGCTCTTTGATTACAGGTGAACTATAAATCCCAGCAACTACAACTCCCAAATTACAAAATCAATCCTCCCCCAACCCCACTAGCATTTACATGAGGGTGCATTGGGTATTTGTGCCCAGTTTGGTCCAGTGAATGAAAATACATCTTGCATATCTGATATTTACATTATGATTTATAACAGTAGTAAAATGACTGTTATGAAGTAGCAACAAAAATAATATTATGGTTGGGGGTCAACACAACATGAGGGACTGTATTCAGGGGTCACGGCATTAGGAAAGTTGAGAACCACTGCTCTAGAACATGGCTATATAGCCCGAAAAAAACTCTCCCCTCCCTACTTGGAATCTCAGAAACAACCTTCCCCTTGGCTGAGAGGCCATCCAATCTCAACAGAGGGGGGCTTTTGGTGGGAGGATTCATCATCTGTTTCCAAAAAGGAAGAGAAGGACAGGTGGAAAAATCTTCAGCCTTCTCTGCCAAAGAGGTTCCTAAGACCATCAGAAATATATGTTTTCTGATGGTCTTTGGTGACCCCTCTGAAGCTCCCTCACACATATACATACATACACACACACACACCCCGGATCCTGACCCCCAGGTTGAGAAACGCTGGTCTATATTGAGTTGTATTGTCGAAGGCTTTCATGGCTGGAATCACTGGGTTGTTGTAGGTTTTTCCGGGCTATATGGCCATGTTCTAGAACAGTGGTTCTCAACCTGGGGTCCCCAGATGTTTTGGGCCTACAACTCCCAGAAATCCCAGCCAATTTACCAGCTCTTAGGATTTCTGGGAGTTGTAGGCCAAAAACATCTGGGGACCCCAGGTTGAGAACCACTGTTCTAGAGGCATATTTTCTCCTGACGTTTCGCCTGCATCTATGGCAAGCATCCTCAGAGGTATTGAGGTCTGTTTGGAAGTAGGAAAATGGGTTTATATATCTGTGGAATGACCAGGGTGGGACAAAGGACTTTTGTCTGCTGAAGCTAGGTGTGAATGTTTCAACTGACCACCTTGATTAGCATTTAATGGCTTGGAAGTGCCTGGGGGAATGTTTTCTTTTTGGAGAGGTGATTTGATGTGCCTGATTCTTTACGCCTCTCCAAAAAAATTTTTAAAAAATTCCCCCAGCAAAGTACCCATGCCTGATCAACAAGGGTAACTGTTTTTGCAAACTGGACAGTATTGTATTTTTGTTTGTAAATATCAATAAACACAACACCAGACTAAAACACGCAAATATTTATTTGTCCAGACTGAGTCTAACAAGATTTAGTGCAAGAATCACACTGGTTTGCACAGCTTTTGGATTTGCATCCAACATGTCAAAGCTACAGAACCAGCCCCAGTGCTAACAGGTGCAAAAATCAAATAAAATAAAGGTTAACTTGTTCGTAGCAGCATTAACACCTCCATATCCCACCCTCTCTTTCCACAAAGCAGTTTCCTTAGTATAACAGAGTTACTTTCTTAAGCCTAGACCCAACAAGCGATCTGAATGCATTTCTGGCGACAGCAGATATTATGAATTGCTGAAACAAACATTAGGTGCAGCTAGAGAACCTTTCATATGATCAAAACTTTAAGATAAACTTCAGAAGTTCTAACTTCCAGAATTAAAATATTTTAAAAGTACAATTTCCAATTGCCGTTACTTACGATATTAAAATCCAGAACAGAGCACAAGCAAAATGGCAACAGGTATCTTTTTCCAAAGTAGGATCCCTCCCTGTGAGGAGGGGCAAGCTCTCGTCATTTGGAAAAGGTCTTAACTGAGGAAATTATAAACAAGGAAGTTGGGCGTCTGGCAATACCTGATGGCAAATAGCTTGCCATCTGGTGTAGGATCTGAAAAGGCAATTTCATCGGTGCTTAGGTAAGAGCCAAAGCAGAACGTTCGCCTGGAAGAGAAAACATTTTGATCAGTGCACACCAACTATCCAGTCCCCTTTGTGCTTATTACAACTTGCAATTAATGTACAATGGGTTGCTTAAGGTTTGCAAAAACTACAAATATGAGGATCCGAAGGGGTCTTGTCGCACCTCAGAGACCAACTACAAGTTCCATTTGCCTATTGATATTTTAAGGCAGGCATGGGCAAACTTTGGACCTTCAGGTGTTTTGGACTTCAGCTCCCACAATTCCTAACAGCTATCAGCTGTTAGGAATTGTGGGAGCGTAGTCCAAAACACCTGGAGACCCAAAGTTTGCCCATGCCTGATCTAGATGGTGTACAGTAGACTTCTTGGTTTCACTCTACACCTGTGTAACTGTATGCATGCCAGACCTGGTTCATAAAGAAAATATGTGATATGGTCAATGTTGCTACTACTCCTCTATTCTGCTTTGGTTAGACCAGACCTGGAATATGGTGTCCAATTCTGGGCACCACAGTTCAAGAGAGATATTGACAAGCTGGAATGTGTCCAGAGGAGGGCGACTAAAATGATCAAGGGTCTGGAGAACAAGCCCTATGAGGAGCGGCTTAAGGAGCTGGGCATGTTTAGCCTGAAGAAGAGAAGGCTGAGAGGAGATATGATAGCCATGTATAAATATGTGAGAGGAAGTCACAGGGAGGAGGGAGAAAGCTGTTTTTTTTCTGTTTCCCTGGAGACTAGGACGCAGAACAATGGCTTCAAACTACAAGAAAGGAGATTCCATCTGAACATGAGGAAGAACTTCCTGACTGTGAGAGCTGTTCAGCAGTGGAACTCTCTGCCCCGGAGTGTGGTGGAGGCTCCTTCTTTGGAAGCTTTTAAGCAGAGGCTGGATGGCCATCTGTCAGGGGTGATTTGAATGCAATGTTCCTGCTTCTTGGCAGAATGGGGTTGGACTGGATGGCCCACGAGGTCTCTTCCAACTCTGATTCTATGATTCTATAGGTTTACAACAGGCTTTTTCTCAGCCACAGGGAGAATCAGAACCTTTTCTGTCACAGCTGAAACAAGTTAAATGGGTGTGTTATCTGCTTCAGCATATAGCAAGGCACTAGTTTTGCAAGCTTTGCGTTTGGCTTAACTTGATGGCTTGTTTGAGCTGAAGAAATCTTTGGCTGTTGCTGGGAGTGGTTACGCAGCATCCTGAAGCAGAAGACTGGATCCGTTTGGAGTGCCAAGGAAGCTGCTTGTTTATTTACTCTATTTATTGTATTTGTTTATACAGCCTTTCTCAGCCCGTAGGTGACTTAAGGCGGTTAACAGGGCAAAATTCAATGCTTACACTATGATCAATACAATTAAAAACATAACATATAATAAAAACTAAACAAATCAAAAAAATATAAATTCATAGTGTCTCGTTGTTAAAAACATTGTCCGGACTCATTGTCTAGTCGTTCCATCTTCCTGTGTCAATTACTCTATATTTGAAAATGCTTGTTCAAAAAGCCATGTCTTGACTTTTTTCCAGAATGTTAAAAGGGAGGTGGCCGATCTAATATCTATAGGGAGGGCATTCCACAGCCGAGGGGCCACCACACCAAGAAGGCCCCGTCTCTCGTCTCCGCCAAACGTACTTATGACGAAGGTGGTAACGAGAGCAGAGCCTCCCCAGATGATCTTAAGGTCCTTGATGGTTCATAAGGGGAGATGCGTTCAGACATGTAAGTTGGGCCAGAACCGTTTAGGGCTTTATAGGCTAAAGCCAGCACTTTGAATTGTGCCCGGTAGCAAACTGGCAGCCAATGGAGCTGGCGCAACTGCGGAGTTGTGTGCTCCCTGAGTGTCGCTCCTGTTAGTAACCTGGCTGCCGCCCTTTGGACCATTTGGAGCTTCTAAACAGTCTTCAAAGGCAACCCCAAGTAGAGTGTGTTGCAGTAGTCTATATGGGATGTAACCAGAAATAAAGTCCGACTGCTCACTGGAGGGAAGGATACTAGAGACAAAGTTGAAGTACTTTGGCCACATCGTGAGGAGACAGCAAAGCCTAGAGAAGACAATTATGTTGGGGAAAGTGGAAGGAAAAAGGAAGAGGGGCCGACCAAGGGCAAGATGGATGGATGGCATCCTTGAAGTGACTGGACTGACCTTGAAGGAGCTGGGGGTGGTGACGGCCGACAGGGAGCTCTGATGTGGGCTGGTCCATGAGGTCACGAAGAGTCGGAGACGACTGAACGAATGAACAACAACAACCAGAGCTCCTGTTAGCAATCTGGCTGCCATTTATGTCATTTATATTTATGGCAAGATAAAGGTATTCTACTGATAACCAAGTAGAGAGACTGTATTATTTTGCCATGTGTTTGCATATCATCGTGTATCTCTGACTCACTGGAGATATTGTTTGCTGCATATTGGTAAGAACAATTCTTCTGTTTTGCTTTGTGTTTTTGATCTACAGTGAATAGAACTATATTTTTGTTTCTACTTAAAGCAACATACTTACAGTATATTCTGGCGTATAAGACTACTTTTTAACCCAAGAAAATCTTCTCAAAAGTCAGGGGTCGTCTTATACACGGGTGTAGTCTTATGCATGGGAGCCGTCTTAACTCTATATTTTAACTGGAAAAGTTGGGGGTCGTCTTATACTCCCAGTCGCCTTATATGCCGGAATATACGGTATATGTATTTTCTGAGTTTTTATGACACTGAGAGTAAAAGCGGCTGAGACATTCTGCCGGCTACTAATGTATTCTGACAGTTAATGGTGGTAGTGAGATGTAATGCTTCACCTGAGCACATCCACCATGCGGCTGGCGACGTGCCTCCTCCTCATCAGGCTGAAGACCCAGATTCGGCTGATTCCGCAGAAGACATTCTCTGGCTCCGTCGAACAGCACCAAACACGCTGAGGCTCTAGGCCGCTCTTATTGGGAGAATCCAGAGCTGTCGTGGGCTCTGAAAGCACCCGGAAAGCCTAGGAAAAAATAAGACAGGTGTGTACAAGTTAAATGAAAAGGCAAGGAACCTAAAGTATAGGGTTGTTGTAGGTTTTTTCGGGATATATGGCCATTCTCTCCTGACGTTTCGCCTGCATCTATGGCAAGCATCCTCAGAGGTAGTGAGGTCTGTTGGAACTAGGAAAAAGGGGTTTATATATCTGTGGAATGACCAGGGTGGGACAAAGGACTCTTGTCTTCTGGAGCTAGGTGTGAATGTTTCAGCTGATCACCTTGATTAGCATTTGATTGCCTGGCAGTGCCTGGAGCAATCTTTTGTTGAGAGGTGATTAGATGTCCTTGTTTGTTTCCTCTCTGTTGTGCTGTTGTAATTTTAGAGTTCCAACAGACCTCACAACCTCTGAGGATGCTTGCCATAGATGCAGGCGAAACATCAGGAGAAAATGCCTTTAGAACATGGCCGTATAGCCCGAAAAAACCTACAACAACCCAGTGATTCTGGCCATGAAAGCCTTCGACAATACATTGAACCTAAACTATAGTTTTGAACTTTGTGGGATACTGTACTCAGTGTTGCCTGAAAATGAATGGAACCTATGTTGCTTGGGGTGCCTTTAGCAAGTGCCCCAAATCTTTTTTTGGGGGATTCTTTTTTCCACCAGTAACACCATGTAACAAAACTATTGCTTGTGGTTTGAAAGTGTTATTGCTTCTCTAATGATGCAGTACTTACTGTGAGAAGGGCGGAATATAAATACTATAAATAAATAAATTGGCCCAGGATGACAAGCATTGCAGTCCACCCACGTCCAAAGACCAATATGTATCCTACATCCAGAGAGCCATATTTATTTCTAATGGGACCATTAATAAAATCCAAATCCAAACAATGAGTGTTTTGAAAAATATGAAGCATTACAAATGCCTAACCAGGGCATCATGGAGCACCTAAGCTCGTCATTTGCTAAAGAAGCAATAATGAAAGTTTTGGTCTGCCAAAGAATCCCAGATAACATGTCAGAGGAAAGACTCCGTCTTCCATAATTCCATTTGGAAGGTCCTTTCAGCATTGGAGGTGCCATTGTGGGATATATTTCCAATTTACATGGCAGCAAACTACTCACCCGCCTGACAGGTTCAGCGATTAAGCAGCCAATTATCTTCTTTTCATTAGATACAAATAGGTACGTTTGAATCTGAGTTGGACAGGTCAGTACCACTTGCTTAAAACCAAGTTCACTATCGACAAGCTGACGAACATCTTCGGCCTGTGAGAAGAAAAAAATGGCATATAGAATGCATAACAAGCAAAATCCAATGGGATTTTGGCCCTCATAAATAAAAGTCTATTGTCTAGATCCAGGGAAGTCATGCTCCCCCACTATTCTGGCTTGATCAGACCACACCTGGAACCACACTTTGTTCAATTCTGGGCACTACAATTTAAGAGAGAGGTTGACTCGGAATGTGCCCAGAGGAGGGTGACTAAAATGATCAAGGATCTGGAGAACAAGCCCTATGAGGAGTGGCTTAAAGAGCTGGGCATGTTTAGCCTACAGAAGAGAAGGCTGAGAGGAGACATGATAGCCATGTATAAATATGTGAGGGGAAGTCATAGGGAGGAGGGAGCAGGCTCGTTTTCTGCTGTCCTAGAGACTAGGATGCAGAACAAAGGCTTCAAACTATAGGAAAGAAAGGAGATTCCACCTGAACATGAGGAAGAACTTCCTGACTGTGAGATCTGTTCAGCAGTGGAACTATCTGCCTTAAGAGTGTGGTGGAGGCTCCTTCTTTGGAGGCTTTTAAACAGAGGCGGGATGGCCACCTGTTGGGGGTGCTTTGAATGCAATTTTCCTGCTTCTTGGCACAATGGGGTTGGACTGGATAACCCACAAGGTCTCTTCCAACTCTGTGATTCTACTATGACTTGAAGGAGTTAGCAGTGGAAGCAATAAAGCTGAGACTCTAGTTGAGGGGAGCATTTCACTGGAAAGTCTGAAATAGTTAAAAATTTACCAAAAGTATTTTGTGAGCAGCAAAGAAAATCACTTCAAATACAAGAATCCCATATCATTCCTGAAACAGATTGGCATGAGTTTTGAGGCAAACAAGTATCATTTCACCTCACGACAAGCAAGACTAGGAGAAAACTCTGCTCCGTACCTTCTTGGTGGCATACTTTGGATCACTCTGCCTGATCAAGACTATTTTCCCATCCCAAAATTCGGCAGCAACGTGTTCATTCTTCCAGCTCTATCAACGGGATGGAAAATGACAGGAGAAAACGAATGTATATTATTAACAGCTTGGAGTACACAGTTGGACCTCAAAACACTTACCAAAGCTATAACGAAATAGGAAAACTGGTTGTTTTTTAATACTAAGTTCATCTGGAAATTGAAAATATTACAAAACAAAAGAATGACAAGGAGCTGTGTATGTTTAGCTAGAAAAAAGAAAAGGATGGGAGCTATGTTCAAATATTTGAAAAGATGTCAGTCCTCTTTGAGTTAAAGCCCAGCGAGTGCAACACATCCATCATTCACCATGTATATGCAAACACAGGCATCCAAAAATCTGAAGATTACTGTATATATTCGAGTATAAGCCGACCCCAAATAAGCTGATTCGAACACAAAAAAACCCTGGGAAAACTCATTGACTTAAGTATAAGCTGAGGGTGGGAAATGCAGCAGCTACTGGTAAATTTCAAAATAAAAAATAGATACCAATAAAATTACATTAATTAAGGCATCAGTAGTGTGATGGTATGGCTGTATCAGGAGCTCCAACTTTATTTTCTTCCTGTTATGTTTTGCAGTCATAGGGCAGGCCTCCTGTCCATCATAATTAAGCTTTGGTTCTGCCCCCTGTTCTGGGCTCTGGGAGGGAAAGGAGCCATTTTTGGGCAGTCTCACACAAGGTAGCTAAGCTATAGGACGTATACCAGCTCGTCCCGTAGAAAAGCTTCCTTTCTCAATAACCATCCAGGGAAAAAGGAGCTTCTAGGGAAAAGGAACATCCGGGGAAGCAGAAATTTCAGGAGAAAGGTCCTAAAAGCTCTGGCTGAGAGCTCACAGCCTCTCAGCATCAGAGGGAACAGCCCTGAAGTTTCTAAGAATTCTCGAAGGCAGAGCAGCATTACAGATTCACGGAACTCCAGCTGAAATATCTTCAAGCCTCGGCTGGTAGGTCTACTCGATACCCAGACACATTTGGAGTCGGTAGTAGGACCCACACCGATGAGGCATAGATAGAAAGCAGCCTGGGAGAGGTTAAAAAGGGTTTTTCCTACAGAGAAAGTATAGTTAATCAAAGTCAGGTACCAGTCCATTGAGGACTAGACCAAGAAAGCCTTGAAGTGTAGTTTGAACCATTGAAGATTTGTTGTTTGTTCCATAATAAAGACTTTGTTGTATCATTAAAGACTCTAAAGACCATCACTTCAGAAAAATCCCTGAGAACCTCTCTTTGAGGCGCCCCTGGCTTCCCGCTGGGCTTAAAGTATATGTCCTATAAAAAAGTACAGCTGTTACAGGCCCAGCACGCGACAGAATAATTAGGTTAAATGTTTTTGAATATTTACATAAAACTGTAATTTAAGATAAGATTGCCCAACTCTGATTAAACTATTATTCTAACTTTCTTCAAGGTAAATGTGCTTACATGTCCTTCCAAAAATAATAGAGTAAAATAATAAATGTAATAAAAATAATAATAGAGGAAACTAATGTACTGTATATACTCGAGTATAAGCTGACCCAAATATAAACCGAGGCACCAAATTTTACAAAAAAAAAAAAAAAAAAAAACCTGGGAAAGCATCTTGACTCGAGTATAAGCTGAGGGTGGGAAATGCAGGAGCTACTGGTAAATTTCAAAATAAATATAGATACAATACAATTACATTAATTGAGGCATCTGTAGATTAAATGTTTTGAATATTTACATAAAACTATAATTTAAGATAAGACTGTGGAACTCTGATTAAACCAGTCTAACCTTCTTCAATGTAAATGTGCTTGCAAATAAAAATAGAGTAAAATAATAAATGTAATACTACTACTACTAATAATAATAATAGAGTAAAATAATGGAAATGTAATAATACCAGTACTAATAAAGTAAAATAATAAATGTAATAATAAAAACAATAAAGTAGAAATAAAGTTGTTTAATATTATTATTATTATTATTATTATTATTATTATATTACATTTACTGTATATACTCGAGTACTACTACTACTACTACTACTAATAATAATACTAATAATAATAATGAATAACCTTGACTCGAATATAAGCCTAGGGCGACTTTTTCAGCCTAAAAAAAGGGCTGAAAAACTAGGCTTATACTCGAGTATATACAGTAAATGTAATATAATAATAATAATAATAATAATAATAATAATAATAATAATAAACAACTTTATTTATACCCTGCCACCATCTCCCCAATGGGGACTCGGAGCAGCTTACATGGGGCCAAGCCCAGACAACATATTACAACAAAATAAAACCAGAGCATAAACAATACTAATAAACAACATCATCAAAATTACATAAAAGGAAAGAAAAGAAAAAACACAATCATAAAATAACATTCCAATAAGCACAATCACAATAATATAACAATCATAAATTAAAATAATAAATGTAATAATAAGAGTAAAATAATGTAATAACAATACAGTAAAATAATAAATGTAATAAAAATAATAGAGCAAAATAATGTAAATATAATAACAATAATAGAGTAAAATAATAAAGGTATTATTATTAATAATAATAATCAGGCAAAGCAAAGTTTTATTCCACTGACCTTAAAAACATTAAAAACAAAAACAGAAATGTACACAAATAGACTCCCATAATAGTGAACTAACATACATTCAAACTTGATTAAGTTAAAAGATAATTAAAAATATCATCATTAAAATGGCAAAGTAAAATTACAAACCACAAAAATTAAAAACGAAGGTTAAAATAGATCATAATAATCATAATAACAGAGCAAAGTTTTTCAGCTTATACTCGAGTATGTACGGTATTTATTTATTTATTATCCACCTCTCCTTTCGGCTCAAGGAGGGGCACAATATAGTTAAATACATCTATAAAATCACATATTAAAAACCTGTGGTCCCAAGCATTTTGGATAAGGGAGACTCCACCTGTAACACATAAACCAATCTCCAGAAAGATTGGACTAAGCAATCAACAGAATTTTCCACCTGAAGACTGAATCTCTATGCTCACTTCCCTAGCAGTTGCCAGACTGCACTACATTTGCTAAGATGCGTTCTAGAAGCTGGATTTTCTGGAATCATGCCAAAATTCAAGAAGTCAGTTCGTCAAGGTCAACTTACCACGTATCTTATTCCTTCGAGTAACCTCTGGTGATACTGAATATGATGGGCTTCATCCTCTGGATTGGCAGCGGAGTAAACCATGCCACAAGATTTGCAGACAGTGGCACCAAAATGTTTTTGACCAGCATCCTGCCAAGGTGAGGACCATATGAGTATAATCAACAGTACACGTGTCAAGCCCGAGGCCTGTGGGCCAAATCCGGCCCACCAAACCATTTTAAACAACTACAATTTCTGTATTCCTCATCATCAGGACTAGAGCTGATGGGAATTGTGATATAGTAACATCTGGAAGGCTGCAGTTTGTTCTGTTTAGTCAGGAGAGTGGGGTTGGAATTGAGATACAAGTCTTGTGGAAAGGATTACTGGCATTATAATGTGCTTTAACCTTTCCTGATCTCCAGAGCCACACGTACTAATAGGTTTTCCAGGCTATACAGCCCATGTTCCAGAAGCATTCCTTCCTGAGGTTTCACCCACATCTATGGCAGGCATCCTCAGAGGTTGAGGAGTCTGTTGAGGAGTCTGTTGGAAACTAGGAAAGTGAGATGTATATATTTGTGGAATGTCCAGGGTGGGAGAAAGAACTCTTGTCTGCTTGAGGAAAGTGCGGATGTTGTAAATGGCCACCTTGATTAGCATTGAATGGCCACGAAAAGCAGCATTGCCCAAACACAAATCAAGGAACATGAAAGGCACTGCAGACTAACTCAGCCTGAGAAGTCAGCGATAGCAGAGCACCTGATGAACCAAACTGCACACAATATATTATTTGAGAACACAGGAACGCTGGACCACTACCATGTCAGATAGACACAGAGAAGCCTTTGAAATCCACAAGCATGTGGACAATTTTGACAGAAAGGAGGAAAATATGAAAATGAACAAAATCTGGTTCCCACCATTAAAAAAACCTCCAAAATTAGGACAGTAAATAAAAAACAACACTCAGAAAACAGGGGAATTCCAGATGATAATCAAACATGGCCAGCTAACACCTCACAACAAAGGATTTCCCCAGGCAGCAACTAGCCAGCTTTGAAGCTGCAAGGCCATTCAATGCTAATCAAGGTGGCCAATTGCAACATTCACACTTGCCTCAAACAGAGAAGAGTTCTTTCTTCTACTCTAGACATTATTCCAGATATTTAAAACCCCACTTGCCTCGTTTCCAACAGAACTCACAAATTCTGAGTATGCCTGCCATAAATGTGGGCGAAACATCAGGTGAAAATGCTTCTGGAACATGGCCACACAGCCTGGAAAACTCACAGCAAGCCAGATAATAAGTTGCATTTCCCATTAACCCCAGTCCACATGGTTCATCCTCAAAAGGGAATGGGAGCTGTCATTCAATAACATTGGGGGAAGCCAAATTGTAATTATTATTTTATTATTCTAATAAAAATATAATAATTATATATTTCATGTTATGTGTAATATTACTAATAATATTACAGTATAGTGGTATAGTCCAATATCAGAATGTATAGTACTAATATTGTGCTATGCTAATAATATAATATATTGTGTTTACATGTATCTTGTAAGCCACTCTGAGTCCCCTTCGCGGTGAGAAGGGCGGCATATAATTGTCGTAAATAAATAAATGAAATAGGAAACTTGAGGCACAAATCCATGAGCACCAACCACTATGTAAAAATAATAATAATAATAATTGGCCCTCTGTGTACACAGATCCTCTGTCCACGGTGGTCCACGCTCTTGTCACATCCCGGTTGGATTACTGCAACGCACTCTACGTGGGGTTGCCTTTGAAGACTGCTCGGAAACTTCAACTAGTCTAGCGAGAAGCAGCCAGATTGCTCACCGGAGCGGCGTACAGGGAGCATACCACCCCCCTGTTGCGCCAGCTCCACTGGCTGCCGATCCAATTCCGAGCACAATTCAAAGTGCTGGTTTTGACCTACAAAACCCTATACGGTTCCGGCCCAGTGTATTTGTCCGAACGGATCTCCCTCTACATCCCACCTCGAAGCTTAAGATCTTCTGGGGAGGCCCTGCTCTCGACCCCGCCACTCTCACAAGTGAGGTTGGCGGGGACGAGGAGCAGGGCCTTCTCGGTGGTGGCCCCCCACCTGTGGAACTCTCTCCCCGGGGAGATTAGATCGGCGACCTCCCTCCTGGCATTCAGGAAAAAACTGAAGACCTGGGTCTGGGACCAAGCCTTTGGACACACTGGCAGCTAAATTAAGGATCTGACGACAAACAAGGACAAATGAAATGGAATGGATATATGGACTCTGAACCCGAGCATGAGATTGTCTTAATATTTTATTATGCACTGATTTTAACTGTTGAATTTTAACTGTTGAATTGCTTTTTTGTATTTTGTATTACTGTCAATTATTTTAGGCATTTAATTGTGCCTCCTCTGTAAGCCGCCCTGAGTCCCCCCCCCGGGGTGAGAAGGGCGGGGTATAAGTAAATAAATAAATAAATAAATGGATTCAATGGCACTTTGGAGACAGCCATAAAGCTGATGTTTGACAACTCTGATCTACAGCATTAAAAAAGAGCAGTACAATACTTGGAAGAGCACATAACAGAAATAAGGCATGTTTTACTTAAAAGTAAAACAAGGGGAATAGAATGCTCCTTTGAATTAACAAGTGCTTCAATTGCTCTAGCAACAGTAACAGCACTAGGAATACAGAAGTGTACTCACAATGACCATCTGATCCTTTAAACCTTTACTCAGTTCCTTGGACTTCTTGCTGGTTCTTGGTATAGCAGGGATGCTTTGTACTCCTGGACCGACATCCACTATTGGCTGCTCCTCAAGATGAGCCCGTGGCCTGAAATATATTTAAGATTTTTCTTTTGTCAGAGGGGAAAAATTAGTAAAAAAGTGGATGAAAATGTAATCATAGAATTTATTAGTAAAGGTTATCCTTTTCTGTCATTGCATTATATATAAATATTGACATACCTCTTTTTGTTGCTGAAGGGTGTGCTACACAAAGGATGAGCACGATATGCCAATGCTGACACTAAAGAGAAAGGAACATCCAGTTAGAATCACAGAATTGGAAGAGACCTCATGGGCCATCCAGTCCAACTCCATTCTGCTAAGCAGGAAAATCGCATTCAAAGCACCCCCGACAGATGGCCATTCAGTCTCTGTTTAAAAGCCTCCAAAGAAGAAGCCTCCACCACAGTCCAGGCAGAGAGAGCGAGTTCCACTGCAGAACAGCTCTCACAACCAGGAAGTTCTTCCTCATATTCAGGTGGAATCTCCTTTCTTGTAGTTTGAAGCCATTGTTCCGTGTCCTAGTCTCCAGGGAAGCAAAAAACAAGCTTCCTCCCTCCTCCCTATGACTTCCCCTCACATCTTCATACATATTCATGTTTCCGCTCAGCCTCCTCTTCTGCAGGATAAACATGCCCAGCTCTTTAAGCCGCTCCTCATTGGGCTTGTTCTTCAGACCCGTGATCATTTTAGTCACCCTCCTCTGGACACATTCCAGCTTGTCAACACTTATTTATTATTTATTTATTTACAGTATTGATATACCGCCTTTCTCACCCCTGGGCACCTCTTCAACTGCAGTGCCCAGAATTGGACACAACTAACTATGAAGCTATTATTAATATTATTATATTTATTTATGCCCCGCTTATTCTCTCAAAGATGCTTACTAGGCTTGGGCGATCCAGTTCGTTAATTTCGTAATTCGTTATTAATTCATATTTAAATTAGGTTACGATCCAATATCGAACCATGCAGGAATAGTGTGAGGAGTAATTAAGAATCGAAACAATTTTTCCAATTTTCGTAATTATTTTCATATGTCTGGTGCAAGTTTTACAATCTCGCATTTACCCCACTTTGCTCTGCTGCTTCCCTCCTCTTTCCTCATGCTTCTTCTTGCCTCACTCTAATATACAATACTATAATATAATATATAATAATAATAAATATTATATTATAGTATTATATATTTTATTACTATATTATTATATTATATTATAATTGTATAATATAATATTATATATATAATATAATAATATATAATATATAATATAAAAATATTATAATAATATATTATAATATTTATAATATAATATAACAATATAATAATATAATATAATATAATATAATATAATATAATATAATATAATATAATATAATATAATATAATATAATATAATATAGTTGTTGTTTGTTTTATCACACCAACAGTCAACAACAGAGGGAGAGGGAAGCTTCAGAACTTCCCCCTGTCCCATTTGGAGGTTTTTTTTAGCATATTGCGCAATCACTTCCGCCATTAACGAATCGATTTGTAATTTACGAAATTTTGGAAATTTCAAAATTGTGAAATCTTAAATTTTGGAAGTCCTCAGAATTTAGAAACGCTAGCACACCCTAGAAACGAAACGAGTTTAGAACCAATTTTTTTCTTGATCGCCCAAGCCTAATGCTTACATTAAAAACATTTCAGTCCAGTTTAAAATCTACAAATATACAAACATTAAAAGAGAATTAAATATCAATGGTATTAAAAATGCAGCAAAACCCTGTTAAAACATATGCATTTGAAATTCTGACATGATCTTAGGTAAAGGTTTCCCCTTGACATTAAGTCTAGTTGTGTCCGACTCTGGCGGGTGGTGCTCATCTCCATCTCCAAGTCGAAGAGCCGGTGTTGTCTGTAGACACCTCCTAGGTCATGTGGCCTGCATGACTGCATGAGCGGTGCCTATTGATCTACTCACATTTGCATGTTTTTGAACTGCTAGGTTGACAGAAGCTGGGGCTAACAACAGGAGCTAACCCAGCTTAGCAGTTTACCCGCTGCACCACTGTGGCCCCTATGATCTTAATTATATATTTTACCTTGGTGAATCTCATTAGAAGGTTTAGTGGAAGAGGTATTCTCATCCTTGTTCACCGCTTTGGATGATTGTTTTGACATTTCTTCTAAGTCCTGTGAATATGATATATTTTTTAAATAAAGGAAATCGCATACACATTCCAAAGGCTGCTATGAAGAGAGATGCAGTAACATTTGCTGAAAAGAAGCATATCTGTGTCTAGCTAGCATGTGTTTGAAATGCCAGAATAATACCAAAGGAAGCTAAACAGGCTGCTTGGAGTTCAATGGGAGGGAAGTCGAAATCAAGCAATTCACAATTCACATGCTTTTTTAGTGTTACTCATTATTTACAGTCCTGATTTTAGAGAATACAAAATTATATGAAAACGCAGAATTGTTGGACCGCTCTATCAACCACCATGTCACCTCCCAACAAAGGAAGCAGCCAGGCCTTGAAGCTGCAATGCCATTCAATGCTAAGCAAGGTAGCCAATTGCAATATTCACACTTTCCTCAAGCAGACAAGAGTTCTTTCTCCCACCCGTGACCATATACTTCTTTCTTGTTGTTCATCCCATAATGTTTATATATCTGTGGAATGACCAGGGTGAGACAAAGGGCTTTTGTCTGCTGGAGCTAGCTGTGAATGTTTCAGCTGATCACCTTGATTAGCATTCAATGGCTTGGAAGTGCCCGGGGGGAATCTTTTGTTGAGAGTGATTTTATGTGCCTGTTTGTTTCCCCTCTGTTGTTATGCAGCGCCCAGACACGCATCAAGGAACATGAAAGGCACTGCAAACTACTTCAACCAGAGAAATCAGCCATAGCAGAGCACCCGATGAACCAACCTGGACACAGCATATTATTTGAGAACACAGAAATGCTGGACCACTCTCACAACCACCATGTCAGACTACACAGAGAAGCCATTGAAATCCACAAGCATGTGGACAATTTCAACAGAAAGGAGGAAAACATGAAGATGAACAAAATCTGGCTACCAGTATTAAAAAACTCAAAAATTACAACAGCAAAACAACAGAGGGGAAACAAACAGGCACATAAAATCACTCTCAACAAAAGATTCCCCCCAGGCACTTCCAAGCCATTGAATGCTAATCAAGGTGATCCGCTGAAACATTCACACCTAGCTCCAGCAGACAAAAGTCCTTTGTCTCACCCTGGTCATTCCACAGATATATAAACCCATTTTCCTAGTTCCAACAGACCTCCCTACCTCTGAGGATGCTTGCCATAGATGCAGGCGAAACGTCAGGAGAGAATGCCTCTAGAACATGGCCATATAGCCCGAAAAAACCTACAACAACCCAGTGATTCCGGCCATGAAAGCCTTCGACTATAAATAAAGTTTATTATTATTATTATTATTATTACTACATAGGCTATTCTGCATCTGTTTACATTTTCCCAGTGGTGAAAGCCCTTAACGTATCAGCTTTTCTCAGATTCATTTTACCTACCTGGTTCGTAGCCTCAGTTTCCTTTAGATCTCGCACCTTCAAGGCAACAGATTGAGAAGTCTGGGGCTCAGGATTCAGCAGGCTTGATTCAGACACATTCTCCAAATTTTGACTAGGACTGTGGGTCAGCATCTCATCCTTCCCCACGTGATTAGGTTTCTCCTCTTTTTCAATTTCTGTGGCACCGTTCCCTTTCCTGCCACCTTCAGTTGCTTTGTTATTAGTGGGCAAGTTGAGCTTGGCTTGTTTCAGAAGACTCTCCGGCTTCTCTTTGACTTCCACCTTTTTGACAGATGGGAAGGATGGTGGGGACAACAGCCCTTTCTTAGAAGCAGAGTTCCCTTTCCTTCCAGCGGTAAAGAATGCCGCTCCTGTCTGGAGTTTCAGTACAGGCTTGAATTTCGTGCTTAAGACCTTGAAAGAGCCCTCCATTTTCTTTTCTGTAGGACAGTTAGCGTTCTCTTTTCCCTTGGGAGGAGCAATCTCTAATTTGGTTTTCTTAGTGTTTTTGGGCAAAGCCTTGGGTTGCTTTGAAGCAGCCGGGCGCTTGTATGTTTTGAAGCTGGGCATCCTGGTTGTCTGCATTTTCACCTGGGCTGTCTCTGTTCTGCTGGTGACTGGAAGGTTTCCACTATCATTTCCTTGACCAAGGGGTTGGCTTTCATTGGTTAGCTTCCGCTCTAAAATATTGAGAAATTGCTTGCCTTTGCTGTAAAATGAACCCGCGGGCACAACAGAACGACATTTGGTACCAGACTCTGGGGATGTTGTCTGGGGGAAACCTCTCTGCGTTCTCTGTGGCACGTGGGCAGTCTGCAGGGGCGAAACGTCAAGTTTCTGTGGTGCAGCTGACCTTTGCGGCGAGAAGTGGTTTTCTTTATCGTTATCTAGGAAAGCAGATGTTGGCTTTATTGGAGATGCACAATTTTGATCCCAAGACACTTTCGCTGCAGGTAGCCCTTCGGTGAACTCCATCATCAGTTTTTTCACAGGGTTCCCATGTGTTAACTGCAAGCTACAAAACATATTAACATTGCACTCTTTACACATTTCCGAATGAATTTGGCTACTTACTGTAAGTTTCATATAGGAGATGCACTACCAAGGATTCAAAGCTATATCAAAAATGGCTTGTTGTAATCTTATCATTTTTAGGTCTATGTAAGGCCCTGAACAGACTGTGCTCTGGCACCACGAGATGCAGAGCCAATCTTAAGAAATGAGGCTACTAAGTGGAATCCACGACATGCGAGTGTGGAGAAGAGCAAACCACTGACCACCTGCTGCAATGCATCCTGAGCCCTGCCAAATGCACACTGGAGGACCTTTTTGCAGCAACACCAGAAGCACTCCAAGAGGCCAGCTACTGGTCAAAGGACATTTAATCAACTACCAATTATGATTATTATTATTATTAAACTTTATTTGTACCCCGCTAGCATCTCCTGAAGGACTCGATGCGGCTTACAAAGGCCAAGGCCTCAACACACAATATAACAATACAAAACCTAAAGCAAATTAAAACAATTAAAGCAAAATAACAACAGGCAGTAAACAATACACTAAGACACAATAAGACTGGGCCGGGCCAGAGTAATGGGTACAGGATTAAAAGTGCTGATGTGACAGGTGGTATATAAGGCATTATAGGGCAAGTGCAGTGTGCGGTGTGCAGCAGTCTTAGTTCTAGTAAAGTGTTTATGGGACTTGGTATTGGAGATTTCCTAATCTGGGAAGGCACATCGGAACAGCCAGGTCTTCAGGTTCTTTCTGAAGACTGCGAATGTAGGGGCCTGTCTAAGATCTTTGGAGAGGGAGTTCCAGAGTCGGGGGGCCACCACGGAAAAGACCCTGCCTCGGGTCCCCACCAAGCGCGCTTGCGACACAGGCGGGATCACGAGCAGGGCGTCTCCAGATGAACGAAGTGAACGCGTGGGTTCATAGATGGAGATGCGGTCACACAGGTAGGGTGGTCCCAAACCGTTTAGGGCTTTGTAGGTAAGCACCTGCACCTTAAATTGGGCTTTGAAAATAAACGTCAGCCAGTGGAGCGCCTTTGGACAGGAGGGTTGACCTCTCTCTGTAAGGAGCCCCGGTTAGCATCCTGGCTGCTGCTCATTGGACAAGTTGGAACTTCTGAGCCGTTTTCAAGGGCAGCCCCACGTAGAGCGCATTGCAGTAGTCCAATCTGGAGGTGACCAAGGCATGGACCACCCCGGCCAGATCAGCCTTCGCGAGGTACGGTCGCAGTTGGCGCACGAGTCTCAAGTGTGCGAAAGCCCTCCCAGACACCACCGACGCCTGAGCCTCAAGCGTAAGCGATGAATCCAAGAGGACTCCCAAACTGCGGACCTGTGGCTTCGGGGGAGTGTAACCCCATCCAGCACAGGTTGCGATCTGGTTTGCGATCGACCAGGAGGACCTCTGTCTTGTCGGGATTGATCTTCAGCTTGTTCCTCCTCATCCAGAGAGACACAGCGGCCAGGCACTCATCCAGCACCCGAGAGGCCTCCGAGAGGCAAGCTTGCAAATTCTGTTTTCTCTGTTTGTTTTTGTTAAAAATGTAATGCAAATGTCTGGTTGCTGATGACACGATAAATAAATAAGGTCTATGTATTGTTTATTTTATGTGCGGCACTTCAGAGTGCTTTGGAATCCTGGGCCCGAAATTTGTCCCATTCATTTCATTTGTGTTTCCATTTTATTCTGTCCATTTGGATGGCGCAAAACGGAAAGGCCAATTCTGAAACAAAAGTGCAATCGATACGAAAGGCAGCCTGCCTTTCGGATGGATTGCGTGCGGCCTGGCAGGGTCAGCGGCCGAGCGCCAAGTACTTCGCGCTCAGCTGTCGGCCCTGCAAGGCCCGGATGCATAGGCCCAAAGCCTGCACCTGTAGGCCCAGGCGGTTTGACCTACAGGTGCAGGCTTTGGGCCTTTGCACTTGGGCCTGGCAGGGCCCTGCGAAGCACACATGCATAGGCCCAAAACCTGCACCTGTAGGCCCTGGTTGTTTGGGCCTACGCACCCGGGCCTGGCAGGGGTTGCAGCTGAGTGACGAGCACTCCTTAGTTGGCTCTCAGCTGCAGGCACCCTGGCACATTGGGACTATGCACCCGGCCTGCTGCCAAGCACGGAGCACTCCATACACAGCGCTCGGCTGCAGGCCCTGCCAGGCTCAGGCACCTAAGTCAGGAAGCCTGCACCCATAAGCGGTGGCCGGGAGAGCTTTTGCACAATTAAAACTTGTGCACCAGTTGCGCCTGTACCTTGGGAAGTCTGATCTGGCCACAGTGGTCCACGCTCTTGTTACATCCCGAATAGACTACTGCAACGCACTCTACGTGGGGTTGCCCTTGAAGACTGTTCGGAAACTTCAATTGGTCCAGCGAGCGGCAGCCAGATTACTCACCGGAGCGTCATACAGGGAGCACACCACCCCCCTGCTATGTCAGCTCCACTGGCTGCCGGTTCAGTTCCGAGCACAATTCAAGGTGCTGGTTTTGACCTACAAAACTCTATACGGTTCCGGTCCAGCGTATCTGTCCGAACGTATGTCCCTTTACGTCCCACCCCAGAGTTTGAGATCATCTGGGGGGGGCCTGCTCTCGACCCCACCGCTATCACAAGTGAGGTTGGTGGGGACGAGGAGCAGGGCCTTCTCAGTGGTGGCCCCTCACCTGTGGAACTCACTCCCGGGAGAAATTAGGGCATCAACATCCCTCCTCTCCTTCAGGAGGAAAGTAAAGACGTGGTTGTGGGACCAGGCCTTTGGGCAATCTAACAACTAGGTAAGGACAATCGAATGACTAGGACTGACAGGACTGACAATGTGGAATTGGAATTTGGACTATGAGAAGCGAACGCTGACCGTCTATGAGGAGTAATTAGGTTTGTATTGTTTCATTGGTTTTAGGGTTGTAATACAGGAAGTGTTGTTTAACTGTTCAACTGTTTAACTGATGTTATTTTGTTTTATTACTGTTATGTGATGTTGGCATCGAATTGTGCCTTCGGGGTGAGAAGGGCGGGGTAGAAGAAACCGAAATAAAATAAAATAAAATAAGCCCAAAGTGCCCAGGCCTATGGGTGCAGGCTTTGGGCCTACGCACCTGGGTCTGGCAGGGCCTGCAGCAGTGCACCGGGTAAGGAGCGCTTCTTACTCGGCTGCAGGTCCTGCCAAGCCCGGGTACGTAGGCCCAAAGCCTGCACCGAAAGCCCAGGTGCTTTTGGTCTATTGGTAAAGTCCTCCCCCCAAATGTAAACAAAACAAATACAGAAAATAAATATATGACCTCCCAATTTCGGGAGGTTCAGGTGAAAACGGATTGGGGCCCCCACCAAAAGCCTAACATGAAACGGATCAAGTTAAGTCCCGAATGCACAATTCTAGTGCTTTGTGAGCCACTTGAGTTCCTTCGGGGAGATGTTGGCGTGGTACAAATCATATTATTATTATTATTATTATTATTATTAGATACACAACAAGATTAGTACACAGCAAACATGATCGCTGTGCTGGCTTTTGTATTCGAGCACACATCAGATACTTCCCAAATGTCTAAGACTGTGTGATGTATCGTGAATAATGCGTGCAGATCCCAGTAGGGTGGCCTTTTGCAGCTGACAGTAATTTTGTCAGCACTGATTGTTTTTAAGTGCAGGCCAAGGTCTTTAGTTCTATTGTGTCTTAGTGTATTGTTTATTGCTTGTTGTTTATATTGCTTTAATTGTTTTTAATTTGCCTTATGGGTGAGGGAGCAGAAGGGGGAACAGGGTAAAAACATACAATGCCCAGATCCATCACCAAATTGTAGATTCAGGGAAGAAGATTACTGGACACACAGTTGACTTTTGGAACTAGTCATTCCTCACCCATATTGTGTTTTTAGTAGTTATATTTATATTTTAATGTACCAAACATGCCAGGTTTGTCTGGAAATGTGACACTATTTCCTGTGCTGGTCAATGACCGAAATAAATATTTTGATTTGATTGATTGATTTGATTTGCCTTATGTTTTGTATTGTTATATTGTGTGTTGAGGCCTTGGCCTTTGTAAGCCGCATCGAGTCCTTCGGGAGATGCTAGCGGGGTACAAATAAAGTTTAATAATAATAATAATAATAATTTAGGCACTGCACCCAGTGTGCCGATCACCACTGGGACCACCTTGACTGGCTTGTGCCAGAGACTTTGCAGTTCGATTTTTAAATCCTCATATCGTATAAGCTTTTCCAGTTGCTTCTTGTCTATTATTATTATATTATCATCACTATTATTATTTAAAAAGGAATATACAGTGGAGCAGTTGTTCTCAACCTGTGGGTCCCCAGGTGTTTTGGCCTACAGGAATCCCCAGCCAGTTTACTAGCTTTTAGGATTTCTGGGAATTGAAGGCCAAAACATCTGGGGACCCACAGGTTGAGAACCATTGCAGTAGTCTTGCTTATCCAACCTAAATGGACTGGCAGAACGTTGAATAAGCAAAATGTTGGATAATAAGGAGGGATGAAGGCAAAGCCTATTAAACATTAAATTACATTATGAATTTACAATTTAAGCACCAAAATATCATGTTTTACAACAAATCAATAGAAAAAGCAGTTCAGTACATAGTAACAATATGCAGTAATTACTGCATTTATGAATTTAGCACCGACACATTGCAATGTATTGAAACAGCGGTGGATCCAGGTGGGAGGCAGACTGCATTGGATAATACAGAACGTTGGATAAGCGAGATTCTACTGTAACTATACAATAATTTGAAAGGGGGAAATCTCAAAACATGCAAAAAGATCTTATGACACCTGTATCTGTGCAAGATATAATCCCAGACTAGTGTGTGTAGGCAAATTTGTGCATAAGAGTGAAACTCTACTGCAGTGTTTCTCACCCTTCCTAATGCTGCAACCCCTTATTACAGTTCCTCCTGTTGTGGTGACCCCCCAACCATAACATTATTTTTGTTGCTACTTCATAACTGTCATTTTGCTCCTGTTATGAATTGTAATGTAAATATCTGATAATGCAGGATATATTTTTATTCACTGGATCAAATACCTAATAAGCTCTAATTTGAATACAGATGGGGTTGGAGGGGCATTGATTTTGTCACTTGGGAGTGGTAGTTGCTGGGATTTATAGTTCACCTACCATCAAAGAGCCCTCTGAACTCCACTAACGATGGAATGGAACCAAACTTGGCATACCAAACTCCCATGACCAACAGAAGATACTGGAAGGGTTTTCTGGGCATTGACCTTGAGTTCCGAAGTTGTAGTTTCACCTATATCCACAGAACACTGTGGATTCAGTGATGGATCTAGACCAAAATTGGCACGAAGACCCAATATGCCCAAATGCGAACACTGGTGGAGTTTGGATAAAATAGACTTTAACTTTTGGGAGTTGCAGTTGCTGGGATTTATAGTTCACCTACCATCAAAGAGCACTCTGAAGTGCACCAATGATGGAATTGAACCAAATTTGGCACACAGAACTCCCATGACCAACAGAAAATACTAGAAGGGTTTGGTGGGCATTGACCTTGAGTTCGGGAGTTGTAGTTCACCTACATCCAGAAAGCAATCTGGACACACTACCCCATGACCAACAGAAAATATTGAGTTTTCTGATGTCTTTGGTGACCCCTCTGACACTCCCTTGCGACCCCCCCAGGCATCCCGATCCCCAGGTTGAGTAACACTGCTCTACTGAAATGAATGACTTCTGGCCCAGGAATAGCATAGTTGTGCTGCAGACCATAGAAAATGCCTAAAAGGGGCCTATTTTGTCCAAAGTGGATAAATGATGCTGTGGATAGCAGGCTCATGAATTTTGGGATTTGTACTGAATAACCAATATTTTACCTTATGTGTCAAAAATCTATTTTAGGCATTTCAGTGCAAATAAACTGTATCCCCAGATATACATGTAATAAGAAAGATAAAAAGAGCATTCAGTTCTTTCTAGTGATTTTACAATGGACATCTTACCCATCAGAACTCCGCTTGCGTTTTCTTGGGGTAACCGCAGCCATATCCTTTGTAAAGGGTCTATAAATTAGGAATATTTACGTTAATAATAATCAACAACAATAGGAGCTGCTTGGTTTCCTTTACTAGCTAAACATGGCGTAATATCTCTATAAATAAAAATGTAATGTTCGTTTGTGGGATTAACAGAACTCAAAAACCACTGGACGAATTGACACCAAATTTGGACACAAGACACTTACTAACCCAAGGAGTGACCATCACTCAAAAAAATGGATTTTGTCATTTGGGAGTTGTAGTTGCTGGGATTTATAGTAAACCTACAATCAAAGAGCATTCTGGACTCCACCAACGATGGAATTGAACCAAAAGTGGCACACAGAACTCCCATGACCAACAAAAAATACTGAAAGGGTTTGGTGGGCAGTGTCCTTTGGTTTTGGAGTTGTAGTTCACCTACATCCAGAGAGCACTGTTGACTCAAACAATGATGGATCTGGACCAGACTTGGCACAAATACTCAATATGCCCAAATGTGAACACTGGTGGAGTTTGGGGAAAATAGAATCTTAACATTTGGGAGTTGTAGCTGCTGGGATTTATAGTTCACCAACAATCACAGAGCATTCTGGGCCCCACCAACGATAGAATTGGGCCAAACTTCCCACACAGAACCTCCATGTGGGCCACAGCAACGCGTGGCAGGGGACGGCTAGTAAAACTATAGAAACCTACCTGATATTTACCTCAGGACAAGGAGCCAAATAGAACTTTCTCTTGAGCCTTCTCTCTGAAACCCAGTTTGAAACTCTCCCTCAAAGCGCGCCTTTTCTCCCCTCGGTCTCTGATTGGCCAGCGCTCAGGCCCTCGGCGGTGATTGGTCGAGTCACCAGCCAATGACAAAGCTGGAGTTTCCTTCACCTTTTTTCCCCCCTCTCCAAGCTCGCGCTCAATTCGGCGCGCGCTTTCTTTCCCCTCGCTCTCTGATTGGCCGGTGTCCACAATTCCCCGCCCCCCCCCGGTCATTGGTTGCTTGGCTTGTCAATATGACCAAGCTCAGGTCTGCTTCGGCGGGAGTCTTTTCAATGGGTTGACAACTCCAAGAAAGACACGCCCTGATCAAAGAGAAGGGGGAGAGCACAGAAGAGGCGAAGAGGCAGACACTTCGGGATAACAAGCGACGCCCAGAAAGGGAGACCTGCTATACTGTGGGCTCATTTTGGAATTCAGGCTTTATCTGCTATGAGTTGTAGTTTGGCAAGACAAGGCCTGTAGTCTTCTCTTCCAGGATCCCATAACACTCAGCCATGCCAGCTAAAGTGGTATAAAACTGCATTAAATGTGCAGTGCAGATGCACATGGCTAATCCATTCTATTCCTAGGAACTTTCTTTACTGTCCAATTTTCACGATCATATATAATTCCTAACTTTGGGTTTCAATTACTATATATAGATATTGTGTGTGTGTGTGTATATATATATATGTGTGTGTGTGTGTGTGTATAATATCTATGTATGTATAGTGTGCATATATAATGTAATTATATATAATGTAAATATACTCAATTACTGAGTTTCAATTCAAGTAATTATTCAATTACTATATATAGATATATAGATATAGTGTGTATATATAATGTAATTATATATGTGTATATATATATTATATTTATATCTATGTATAGTGTGTATAAAAAGGTAAAGGTAGTCCCCTGACATTAAGTCCAGTCATGTCTGACTCTGGGGTGTGGTGCTCATCTCCATTTCTAAGCCGAAGAGCCAGCGTTGTCCGTAGACACCTCCAAGGTCATATGGCCGGCATGACTGCATGGAGCGCCGTTACCTTCCCACCGGAGTGGTACCTATTGATCTACTCACATTTGCATGTTTTCGAACTGCTAGGTTGGCAGAAGCTAGGGCTGACAGCGGAAGCTCACGCCGCTCCCCGGAATCGAACCTGCGACCTTTCGATCAACAAACTCAGCAGCTCAGTGCTTTAACCCACTGCGCCACCGGGGGCTCCTGTAATTATATATGTGTATATATATATTTATATCTATGTATAGTGTGTCTATATAATGTAATTATATATAATGCAAATATACATATATTCAGTTACTATAAATATAGATATAGTGTGTATATATATAATGTAATTATATATGTGTATATATATATTATATTTATATCTATGTATAGTGTTTCTATATAATGTAATTATATATAATGTAAATATACATATATTTGATTACTATATATAGATATATAGATACAGTGTGTGTATGTATATAATGTAATTATATATGTGTGTATATTTATTATATTTATATCTATTTATAGTGTTTCTATATAATGTAATTATATATAATGTAAATATACATATATTATATTCAATTACTATAATATATGTATATATATATATAGTGTGTGTATGTATATAATGTAATATATATAATGTGTGTATATATTATATTTATATTTATAGTGTGTCTATATAATGTAATTATATATAATGCAAATATAAATATATTCAATTACTATAAATATAGATATACAGTGTGTGTATATATAATGTAATTATATATATATAATGTGTATATATATTATATTTATATCTATTTATTTATTTATTTATTTATTTACTTGTATACCGCAGTTTCTCAGCCTAACAGGCGACTCAACGCGGTTTACAACAAGGATAAGAATCAATCAACGATATACAATTTAAAACCATTAGAGCACAATATACAATATTGACACAACAATAACAACACAATGCATCTCATAACTAGAGTCGTGATCCAAATTCGTCGTCCATATTTCCATTCCTGTAATCGTCACATTCATTGCACTGATTAACCAAATGCCTGTTCAAACATCCAAGTTTTTAATCCCCTTCGGAACACCATTAGCGAGGGGGCTGATCTTACCTCCATGGGAAGGGCGTTTTTATAGTGTGTCTACATAATGTAATTATATATAATGTAAATATATGTATATTATATTCAATTATTATATATATATATATAATGTGTGTGTATATATATAATGTAATTATATATATAATGTGTATATATATAACATTTATATCTATTTATAGTGTGTTTATATAATGTAATTATATATAATGTAAATATACGTATATTCAGTTACTATATATAGATATATAGTGTGTATATATAATGTAATTATATATATAATGTGTATATATATTATATTTATATCCATGTATAGTGTCTATATAATGTAATTATATATAATGGAAATATATGTATATTATATTCAATTACTATATATAGATATGGTGTGTGTGTATGTATGTAATGTACTTATATATATAATGTGTATATATATTATATTTATATCTATTTATAGTGTGTCTACATAATGTAATTATATATAATGTAAATATATGTATATTATTTATTATTGTATATATATAGATATAGAGTGTGTATATATAATCTAATTATATATATAATGCATATATATTATATCTATTTATAGTGAATTATATAATGTAATTATATATAATGTAAATATATGCATATTATATTCAATTACTATACATAGATATATAGATATAGTGTGTGTGTGTGTGTGTGTGTGTGTGTGTATATATAATGTAATTATATATATAATATGTACATATTATATTTATATCTATTTATAGTGTATCAATATAATGTAATTATATATAATGTAAATATAGATCATCAGAAAACACAGTATTTTCTGTTGGTTATGGGGATTCTGTGTGGGAAGTTTGGCCCAATTCTATCAATGGTGGGGTTCAGAATGCTCTCTGACAGCAAGTGAACTATAAATCCCAGCAACTTCAACTCCTAAATGTCAAGGTATTTCTTCCCCAAAGTCCACGAGTGTTCACATTAGGACATACTGAGTATCCATGCCAAGTTTGGTCCAGACCCATCATTGTTTGAGTCCACAGTGCTCTCTGAATGTAGGTGAACTACAACTCCAAAACTCATGGTCAGTGCCCACCAAACCCTTACAGTGTTTTTTGTTGGTCATGGAAGTTCTGTGTGCCAAGATTGGTTCAATTCCGTCGTTGGTGGAGTTCTGAATGCTCTTTGATTGTAGGTGAACAATAAATCCCAGTAACTACAACTCCCAAATGTCAAGGTCTGTTTTCCCCCAAACTCCATCTGTGTTCATATTTGAGCATATGGAATATTCGTGCCAAGTTTGGTCCAGATCCATCATTGTTTGAGCCCAAAATGCTCTCTCGATGTAGGTGAACTACAACTCCCAAACCCAAGATCAATGTCCACCAAACCCTTCCAGTATTTTCTGTTGGCCATGGGAGTTTGGTGTGCCGTGATTGGTTCAATTCTGTCGTTGGTGGAGTTCTGAATGCTCTTTGATTGTAGGTGAACTATAAATTTATTTATTTTATTTCGGTTGCTTCTACCCCGTCCTTCTCACCCCGGGGGGGACTCAGGGTGGCTTACAAAAGCGAGGCACAATTCGATGCCCGCATCACATAACAGCAAAGGACAATAACATCAACTAACAAGACAGCAATTCGAGCAATAACAACAATTAACAGACGACAATAATTATTATAGGCAAAAACAACCATAAAAGCAATAAAACCAATACAAACCTCATTGACGGTCAGCGTTTCACAATCTCATAGTTAAATTCCAATTCCACAATTGTCAGTTCTTTCAGTCCTATCCATCTGGTTTCCATATCTAATTGTCAGATTGCCCAAAGGCCTGGTCCCATAGCCACGTCTTTACCTTCCTCCTGAAGGCGAGGAGGGATGTTGATGTCCTGATTTCCCCCAGAAATGAGTTCCACAGGTGAGGGGCCACCACTGAGAAGGCCCTGCTCCTCGTCCCCACCAGCCTCACTTGTGATAGCGGTGGGGTCGAGAGCAGGGCCTCCCCAGATGATCTCAGATTCCGAGGTGGGACGTAGAGGGAGATACGTTCGTATAGATACTCTGGACCGGAACCGTAAAGGGTTTTGTAGGTCAAAACCAGCACCTTGAATTGTGCTCAGAACTGAATCAGCAGCCAGTGGAGCTGACACAGCAGGGGGGTGGTGTGCTCCCTGTATGTCGCTCCGGTAAGCAATCTGGCTGCCGCTCGTTGTACCAGTTGAAGTTTCCGAACAGTCTTCAAGGGCAACCCCACGTAGAGTGCATTGCAGTAGTCTATACAGGATGTAGCAAGAGCGTGGACCACTGTGGCCAGATCAGACTTCCCAAGGTACGCAACTACAACTCCCAAATGAAAAAATCAATCCCCTCCCCAACCCCACCAGTACTCAAATTTGGGTGTATCAGGTATTTCTCCCAAATGTGGTCCAGTGAATGAAAACACATCCTGCATATCAGATATTTACATGACGATTCATAACAGTAGCAAAATTACAGTTATGAAGTAGCAACGAAAATAATGTTATGGCTGGAGGTCACCACAACAGTATTAAGGGGTTGCGACATTAGGAAGGTTGAGAAACACTGGCATAAGGAAATAGTGGGACCAAATGGCCACGAAATGAATGAAGTTCTGTTTGTTGCTTTTCTGTACAAAGCTATAAAGGAGGGCGAGTCCTGCTGTGAAGAGGCCATTGTCCTTTTATTGCACCCAAGCTTTTTTCTTTTATTCTTCTCTTCTGTTGTACAACAAAACAACTACCATTCTAGACGCTGTTCTACATGAAAGGGGGAATTGTCTCTGGCCTTTTTGTGATCGGCAGATACTTTGCAAGCGCAGATGTTCGGACACAACGCTATAGAAAGAAATGCTGAGC